TGAGACCAGGAATGCACCCGGCTCCCAGATGGCATTGGGGTCAGGTGTGCTGGGGGCTGCCGGTACCCGCTGCCTCCATCCCACCTCTATTGGCCCTCTGCTAACTGAGGCTCCAACCCCACTGGGCTGGCCTCGTTGCCAACCCTGAGCCCCCACCACCAGCCCAGACCCCTGTCAACTATTCCTGGGACCCCATCACCAGCCCCAGGCCCCCGTTGTCAGCCCAGACCCCTGCCATTGCCAGCCCCAAGCCCCCATAGCCAACTCTAGCGCCCACCACCATCCCTGGGCCTCATCACCAGCCCAGCCCCAGGTTCCATCGCCAGCCTGGGCCCCCATCACCATCTCCAACCCTCCTTGCCAGCCCCAGGTCCCATCACTGGCCCCAGGCCCCCACTGCCAGCACAGATCCCCTGCCCACCTGGGAAGGACCCGGCCTGGCCCCAGTGCAGGCAGCCAGGGATGTGATGCAGGGCTGGGGGACATTTACCCTGTCCTCATGGAGATCGTGCTCAGGAGCCAGCCGGGGGCCTCCCTGAGGTGCCCTGCTCCACCCCAGAGCCAAACATCCTTCAGCCACTGGCAGCAGACCGCCCCCCAGCCCTCTGCCAGTTACCTTGGTGCCCCAGAGCCAGCGGGGACAGCTTCTCCAGCGGGTTGGGTCCTGTCTCACCCACCCTCCAGGCCAGAAGGCTGCAGGCCAGCAGCACCAGGAGTCGGCGGGCTGAGACTCTGCCGTCCTTCATGCAGGTGGCTGGGGGGGCCAGGGCCCCTTGACTCTGTTCAGCTGAGAGAGAGGATTTGAGAGAGACAAGCTTTCCACCAGCCCTGAAGCACTGGCTTTGGGACGAGTGAGGCCACACACTTGTGTGTGTGTGCATGAGAGAGAGAGAGAGAGAGTGTGTGTGTGTGTGTGTGTCTGTGTGTGTGTGTCTGGTTCCAAGATCTGATCCTATTCAAAACTTCAGACAGGCACTAGCTGGTCAGCTTGAACAAAAGGTTGACGGGTGAGTAATAGCTCTGTCAAAACAGTCGCTCAGTGGTGCGAACAGGGGAGACGGCTCCTGCGGGGCCCCGCGCCAAGGCTCTGCATTGCTGCCCCACAGTGCTGCTCCACCAGCAAGTGCTCCTGGGGCGGATCCATTGGGGGGTCTCAGCCCCCTGGGTACAGCACAGCCCCGGTCTGGTCGCCTCCCTGCTCTGCCCTGGCCCTGGCACTGTAAGCGAGGTGAGGACAAGAGCAGGTATCCCAAGCCGTGCCCACTCCAGGACCAGTCGCTTGGGTTTCAGAGCCTGGATTCCAGAGAAAGGATGCAGCGAACAGGAGCGGCTTGTTCCCTGGGCCCTGCTGCCTGCTCTCATCCCATCCCATGAATTAAACATGTCGGGGAGGGGATACATACCACTAGGGAAGGAGCAGCAGGCACAAAGCCAAATGCCTGCTCTGGGGAGCTGGGCAGCCTGGTTACAGGGTGAGAGGCCTGTTGAGGGCTGGGGAGCTGGCAGCAGGAGAGATGCCAAGCCGGGGGCCATGTCTCGGGGGGCCCTTGGGATCAGGCACAGGCCCCAGAGCCCCCTGTGCTCAGGGGGCTCAGCCCTGCCCTCACAGCTCTGCCCCAGGCTTGGAGCACCCATGCCAGGCACTTGGGGGTGCTCCCTGGGCACAGGGGAAATGTGTGAGGCTCGGCACACTGAGCCCCAAAAGCAGATGAAGGGTTAACATGCCTCATTCAGTGTTGGGCACAGCCCTCAGCCAGCACTGTGCATATGAAGCTCAGCCTTGGCATGGCCCCACTGGCTGCTTCACCCATTTCAGAGCATGGGGGAGAGCTGACCCTCCCCGTGAGCTGGGCCTGGAGGAGAAAGGTGGTTTCAGGGCATTATGGCCCACCTTGTTGGAGGGGAAGGAGCTGGAGGAGCCTAGCATGTGCAGGGCTGCTGCCCTTGTTCCCTGGGGGAGATGACAACAGCGAGAAGCCCCTGTAACAGCAGAAAACCCTGATGCTGGGGACAGAGCGTGCAGGAGGGACAGGCTGGTCAGGCCTGGCTGAGTGGTGTCAGAGTAGGACGGCAACATTGCCAGGGACGGCCTGGCAGCACAGCAGGGATTGGGACCCCAACCCCAACCTGCAGACAGAGCTGCCTTCCGATGCATCCCACCCTGCTGCCAGCAATCAGCTCTCGGACCCAGGATAGGAGCATGTGTGCAGGGAGAGTGAGTGGGAGCAAGTATCCCTTGCCACCCTTGGGTATCTGCCAGCAGTGATGAGATTCGTAAGGCCCTCTCCCCTATGGAGAGCCATGGTGGAATTTTCATGCAGGTGCCAGGACAGATTTATGCCCATCATAATTTGGAGGCACCCAGAGAACAGCCCCCTTTCCCTGGGGGGATGCTGCGAGGCACAGCAGGGTGTGTGGCAGGCCCTGGGGATGTGAGCTACAGGGTGGCACAACCACCACCTCTCCAGGAAAAGCTTCCCTGGAGGGTGGCTCAGCTGAGAGCTGGGCTGCTGAAAGTGGCCATCTCTGGTCACACTGCCTGGGAGGAGAATGGCTGTCATGGGAGTCTAGTCTGCTCCAGTTCTCAACCAATTTCTAGTCCTTCCACCTCCTGCTCCCAGAAACTCCTCAACCCCAGGAGATAAATGACCTGGAAAGTCTTGATGCTTTCATAGAAACACAGCTAGTGTTACTAGCAACACTACAAAATTGGCTCAGAAATGATGGCATACAGACATCCCCTGTTCTTCTGAGCTTTTGAAGGGTCATGATTTTTCTGACCTTCCCCATTCCCAAGAGGATTTGACATCTCCCCTAGCAATGAAAGGCAAGATAAGTGCATACAGGTGTGTGTGTGTGTGTGTGTGTGTGTGTGTGTGTACACGCTAGTGCTTTCAAAACCAAATTATAGAGTGTTATGAGTCAGTGCAGAACTGGTGGCAGAACCAGCATGGCAAAGAGCTCCTGCTGCTTGGAAAATCTCTGTCTAGATCTTAAGTTACAAACACTACTGGATGGATGCCAGGTCCTATGCACCCAAGTGTGGGTGCTGAAGTGCTGGCGCTGCAGTGGGCAGAAAGGAGAAGGCCCTCTCTTTGCAGGCCCCCAGCAGCTGGCTGGGGGGCCTCAGCAAGCACTCCCAAGCACAGCCAGCATTGCTCTGCACAGCGAGCGCCAGAGCGTGCGGCAGCCTGGGTTTCGGGCGGCTCCGCCAGGGCAGGCTGCCGGGCAGCTGCGGGAGGCCTGCTTTGGTCCCTGCCGGCCCAGAGGGCATCACTGGCTGCGGGGACACTGGCTCTCCATCCCTCCGGGCTCTCCAGGCATTCCCTGCTGTTCTGACCCCTGAGGCAGGGGCTCACACAAAGCACTGAGCTGGGCCTCCGCAGAGACCCTAGAGCGGGGCCAGCCAGTGCGTGTGGGGAGAATGAGACCC